CTGGTGAAGAAATTGATGCATGATTTTTCATAGATTCCAAGGCCAGATGGGATCTTGATCATTTAGTCTGACTTCCTGTATAACACAGGCTATAAAACTTTTCCAAAATAATTCATTTTGTGCTGGAGCATATATATATAAATCTTAGTTTTAAAAATTGTCAGTGATGGAGAATCCACCAGAACCCTTGATAAATTGTTCCATCAGTTAATTACCTCACTGTAAAACATTTGTTCCTTATTTCTAGGCTCTTTTCTGATCCTACTTATTATCATATTCTTGAATTTTGGACACCAGAGGTATGTCTAGACTGCATCCCTCTGTCAGCAGAGGGATGCAGATTAGGCAGGTCGACATTGCAAATGAGGCAGGGATTTAAATATTCCATGCTTAATTTGCATAAAAATAGCCACCCCATTTTGCCGACTCCGCACTTTGTTGGCAAAAAGTGGCAGTCTAGAGGGGGATCTGTCGAGAAAGAAAGCCTTTTTCGACAGATCCTGTAAATCTCTTTGCTACGGACATAAGGGATCTGTCGAAAAAGGCTTTCTTTCTCGACAGATCCCCCTCTAGACTGCCACTTTTTGCCAACAAAGTGCGGAGTCGGCAAAATGGGGTGGCTATTTTTATGCAAATTAGGTGCAGGATATTTAAATCCCTGCCTTATTTGCGATGTCCACCTGCCTAATCTGCATCCCTCAGCCGACAGAGGGATGCAGTCTAGACATACCCCAGGACTAGACACCATATTCCAGCAAGGTTGCACCGGTGCCAAAAAGGCAAAGTAACCTCTGTGCTCCTACTTAATAACCTCCTGTTTATGCATTCAAAAACAGAATTATTCCTTTTGACCACAGTTTTGCACTGGGAGATTATGTTCAGCTGATTTTCCATCATAACCCCAAATCATTTCCAGTCACCACTTCCTAGTAAGGGCACTGGAACCTTTGAAGAATTGGGGATGTGGGTATGGCCTTTGGCAATGCATGTGGGAAAATGTGATGGTCCCATGCCCCCACAGATTTTCTTCTTGGCTTATGCTAAGCATGCTCAGATGGACTGAGCGAAACTCCGTGTGTTTCTTTTACTAATAAAGTGGGGGGCATGGCCTTCTCAGTTTTAAGTGTGTGGGAGCATTGCCTGGCCCCCCCTTTCCCAGGTTTCAGAGCCATTGCAGAGCCCTCCTTCTTCTAACTGCGGCCTACATTACTTTTTCATGTAGTTGTATTAAAACAGATGCTATTTGCTTGTGCCTAACTTACTGAGTCTTCCAGATCACTCTGTATTAGTGACCTGTCCTCTTTATCATTTTTGATAACTTCAGGGTTTTTTCTGGGTTTTTTTATACATACCAACCAAGTATTCAAAGGATTAACCACACTCGTAATTTGTGCTTTACTATCCAAACTGGTCCTTATGTCGATCGTTATGTTTTAAGTACTGTGCACTTAATAGAAAGATGACATTCCATGATAGCAAATGTTTTTGCAGAGTATTATGCAGAAGAATGTTTCCAACATACTATCCAGTGATTTTTCTTATATTTGCATTAGTCACTGAAATTACATTTTTTTTATTTCATCTTGTATCCTCTTGTTTTTAGTGTATCTACAGCAAGCTGTGACATGAATGGAAATATTAATAACTGTATTCTAGTTGGGGAAAACATTCTGAAACATAGCTATTAAATAAAGGTCACTGGTGATAAGGAAATAGAATTCTCTCTTTGATATTTATAAATGATTAATTATTCTTAGTCTGACTTGTCCAGGTCAATTTCAATGATGTTGCTTTAAAAAATCCATTTTGAAAAAGGAAAAACAATTTTATCAAATCAAATCAAATGACAATAAATGAGGTACTATCATCCATTGCATGTTTATAAAATTATCTATTTTGCGTGCTACATTGGTCTTTTGAAATTTCCTTCAGGATGTTTAAAATGGAGTTGCTGATATTTCTCTGGTCTTTTCAATTTAGAGGACAAAGACCAATGACAAGCTTGTCTCAATTAGTTTTCCAGTTTACTGGAGAAGTATGAGCTGAGTCCTTGCCTCTCAGGACAAATCCTGTTGTTAACTAACAAGATAGTCCAAATAACTGATATATTCCACTGACTTTAATGCAAGATGAAGCAGAATTGTAATGATCTTGATTAATCTCTTAGGTGTATGGTTGGTATTTTCAGTTGAAAGGACCCATTTCAAGATTCTCATGTTTCACAGTAAGAAAAGGAGCATAATATGGATTCCCATACTTTGTTTGCTATAAGGACACTGGTCGCAAATCCATGTGGTACAGCATCCATACAATTACAGCAAGGGAATTTAATCTGGACATTAGGAAAAACTTACTGTCAGGATGGTTAAACACTGAAATAATTTGCCTAGGGTGATTGTAGAGCAGGTTAGATAAATATCTGTCAGGGATGATCTAGATCAGGGTGGGCAATAATTGTTGATGGGAAGCCACTTCAAGATTTTGATAAGTGATCAAGGGCTGCACTTTTCTAAGGCAGTAGTGCACAACCCGTGGGTCGCGACCCCCAAGGAAGTCGCAGATGTCTTCCTGGGAGGTTGTCGCGCGGCACGGCCACCAATGGCCAAGCCCAGCCCCCAGACACCCGGATCTAAGTGCCGCACCACGTGGCCGCCAACGGCCGGGCTCAGCCATGGGGGTCGCAGTTGATAAAAGGTTGCACTCCTCTATTCTATGAAGGGGGTGCAGAGTCTGGGATAGAGGTTGGATGCAGAAGGAAGCATGGGGTAAGGGACTGGGATGCAGGAGAGAGTGTAGGGTCTGAAAGAGTTTGGGTGAAGGAGGGGGTTGTGACATAGGGCAAAAGAATGGGATACAGGATCGGGGAGGGAGTCTGGGTGCAGGAGAGGATTCTGGCCTGGGGGCGAGGGTATCGGAGGAGGTGCCGAGTCTGGGAGGGAGTTGTGACCTGGAGGAGTGGGGACAGGTGCAGAGGGTTTGGGTGGTGGCCTGGGGCAAGAGAGAGTGTTGGCCTTGGGCAGGGAGTTGTGCAGGGGAAGGGGGCAATGGGAGCTGAGGAATTTTTCTGGGGGGCAGGAACAGTGTACGAAGCCTTCGCTTTCCCCTTTCATCTATGTCCGTCCCCCCCTTCAGCCCCTGGTGCCCAGAGCAGACAGCCACAGGGAGCAACCAACCACTTAAAACAGAATGGGGCTGTTTCTGTGATTGAGGGTCCTGGCAACGCAGCCCACAGAGCCCACCCTGATCTAGATGGTGCTTGGTCCTGCCATGAGTGCAGGGGACTGGACTTGATGACCTCTCAAGTTCCCTTCCAGTTCTAGTAATCTATGATTCTTCTGTGTTATAAACATAGGCAACAGTTCAGGTAAAAGAGGGCATAGAAAGCTTATTGGTTAGAAAAGGATAAGGAACACTTCTTCTCAGGAAGTAGTGGGTTTTAATGAAAAGAGAAAGGACTTCATGGATCAAGTTGACTATCCAATAACACACACTATATATGTTACCTATATATATTTTAAGAATTTTTGAAATGTAGATTCAGCCAGGTGCAACTTCAGAAAAATACACTTTCACAGTTTTCACAAGCAGCCAAGCCCTTAAAATTTCATGATTCAGCTTTGATGAGCACATCCAGGCTAACTTTAAAATCTCCTTTATATTTTTTAAATAATTGAAGAGGGTGAAAGTTTATGTGTAAGGGCTTTTTAAGTGGGTGGAGACTATATTTATATTTAAAGATTTAAATGAAACAAATCCTGTTCCTTTACTGTTTTTCTTTCACTCCTTTTCCTCTTTGCTTCCAGGCTTGGTGGGAGGGGGGAATTTGGGGGGGAGCAAAAGGGGGAGTTTCTTTCTTAAAAAAAGAAATCATAATACAGTGATGAAGGGGTTAAGAGTTTTGGTAATAAATTGTAAGTATTGGAAGAAAAGAGGAAATTTGTCATTTTGCAAAGCAAGTTTTAAAATAGTTTTTACTGTTGCTCCTTAATTTCATGGTAATGCCACAAAGCATGATAAGGTGCTAATCCTGATTGTTGTATTTTTCCACTATTTAATTTACGGATGTTTAATTTACTTCAGAGGAGTATTGGCAATGATTGTAATTATATCCAGACAGCTGGTCTCATTCCACTGAAGGACTTATTAGTGAAAAATCAGGGAAATGTCTATTTTATACATTTTATTAAAGTTTTGTTGAAAAACACAATATTGTTAAGGAGAATCCAAAATATAGAGCTGTTAAATTCCCAGTTGCGTTCTGGAAGACTTATGGTTACTTAAGGCCAATTAGCCCTTTTTCACAGGAATAAACAATTGTAGTCCCAAGGTCCTGGCCAAGTTCCATTCTGAGAAGTATATTCTGCCTAACAAAATTCTTCTGCAGATGAATTTGGAAAATTAATTTTATTTGCTATTCTAAATTACCTAGCATTACTATATGTTGACCCACAGTTGGCTCACTTTTCCCCAGAGGAAACAAAAAACAGGACTATGTAGCACTTTAAAGACTAACAAGATGGCTTATTAAAGACTAATAAACCATCTTGTTAGTCTTTAAAGTGCTACATAGTCCTGGTTTTTTTTTTCAGCTAGACCAGACTAACATAGCTACATTTCTATTACTTTTCCCCAGAAGTGACTCAGAATAGTAAAGATGGCCTATTCCTATGTGTACAATGGGGTGAAACTTTTGTTTGATTGTAAAATACTTTGGATCCTTCAGTGTGAGAGTTATCAGCTGTTCTATGTAATTGCCACTCAAATTTGCCTGTATATTAAAAAAAAAACCTGTAAAATTTAAAGTTTGTTTATACTTAGGTCAAGCAAACCCAGTGATGGAGGTGAAAATTGATGGATAATGGGTGACAGACCTTTAGAGTTGTGTGCTTTGCTATAGGCAAGGTCCTTCTCATCTTCATATTTATTATGTGGTTGAAGGTTTTTTTGTTGATGAAATATTAATCCATATATTTCTGTATTTTTCTCTCTTCTGTATTTAGGTTATTGGAATATTGGATGTGTTCACACCAGATGTAACACTGGAGAAATTTAATGATTTGTAAGTTTTTGATACTATGAGAAATCATAGGCATTAACTTATGGTTTATTTCTGAATTTCAGTTTAATATAAGTATTAGGTTCATGCCTAAAACATTTTAAAGGACTTGTAAGGGCACATCTACACAGCAGGGCTAAACTTAAAATAAGCTGTGCAACTTGAGCTATGCTAACTGCATAGCTTAAGTTGAAATAGCTTATTTCACTTTTGGCACCCTATACACAGCAGTTATTTCGAAATAGAGCACTCTTCCTCCAACTTCCCTTACTCTTCATACAACTAAAGTATAGGAGTCAGAGTAAGCAGTCTTCCAGCTCAACATTATTTTGACATTATGTCAAAATAACTGCTTATGTGTAGATGCGGACTATGTTATTTCGGAATAACATCAGTTATTCTGAAATAACGCTGCTGTGTAGACATAGCCTAAGAAAGTTAGATGCCTGTTATTGAAACTCCATGGGAATTGGTGCATCCCTCCCTTACACACCTTTGAAAATCCTCAAATTAAAGCACTGAATTCATATCAGAGAAACAAAAAGCTAAATTCTGATCTCCAGAATCCACACTTCATATTTCTAACTTCATGCACAAGAGTGATACATGCACCGAAATAGAAATATACACATTCAGAAGATCGTAACTTTAAAAATGATGTTACATGATGCATTTTGCCTAAAGCACCTGAGTTACTGTGCTTCCAGAGTAAAGCCGTTACCTTCAGTAGATTGCAGTGTATTTCCTCTATTATAACTGGGATCGGAGTTGTGTTCAAAATGTTTTGAAATCACTCTTCTGGTAATACAAATCTATCCCATGTTGTTTAAAAATTCAACGTTAAAATACAAAAGTAGAAAATAAAACACAAAAATTGGGTAAGCCCAAGGTTGTGGACTGAATGCCCCCTTTACCCATGCAGGACTTTGAGGCAGAGACTTTATAGGATGAAGTGTCTAGTAGACTAAGTAAAACATCACCCAGGAGTTTTGAGGGTACAAAAGGCAGATAGAGGCTTATTGTCATGACTAGAAGCACAGCAGTGTGTTGCAAATGTGTTGTGTATATTCCCAGCAAGCTGTCCAGTGTAAGCAAGTACAAATGTGTTTACAATTAAAACAGAAATTAGTGGAGGTTTTTGTGCATTAAAGGTCAGATGAGTCATTCAAGGGGAGATTTGATTGTTTACCTCTTGCTAACTAGTCATGTGGGAGCTTGTTTGGGCTGTGATATGAATTTGATCCTACTGTACTGTAGCTGCCTCATGGCTAGAAACAGCAAGGCTGGGGCAGGCAGTTCCAATATTGCCAGTCCTCTAGGGCATTATTCCTGTCTGAACCCTTTAGGAATTGGAAGGCACATATTTTGATATGGATCCTACCCCTTCTTTTTGGAGGCAAGCATACACTTAGATCTTGCATCAGCATCAATCTGCCAGATAAAGTGGAAGAGGTACTGGGGCGAAAGCCCTGCCCCTTCTGAGACCCCAGTGCTGTTTCAGGTGGCACCTGACCATTTTCCCCACATACACACACCTTCCCAGCCCTGTCACTCATGAGATGAAAAGCTAGGACCCTAATCCTGCAAAGAGTCACACATATAGTTTGTTAGGACTACCCACCGAGCATCTAGTTAACTTCCCTATAGAATCATAGGACTGGAAAGCACTTCAAGATGCCATCTAATCCAGTCCCCTGCATTCTTGGAAGGTGTGATGCATTCAGTCACAGGAGTCCCCTTGAGTCTGTCACCCAGTATGTTGGTCATGCCACTGAGCCTGCCTACCTGCCCTTTGGGGCACCCACCACCCTGTCCTGCTGAGTTAGAAGCTCTGGTCTCCCTCAGCTGAGGCAGAGTTGGGGTAACAGCCCTCCAGAAGAACAACTCAGACACTGAACCAACTCAGCTCTAGGAGGGCTTAGCTGTGAGGCCATTGACAGCACCCAGGAACACAGCCCCAAACAGGACCAAAACCCCTAATAAATCTGTCTTGGTCTGCATAAAAGTTTTACACAAAGAAAGCTCAAAAGGTCAGCCCCCTTTGTCAGTGGAAGAGAGATATGCACAGTGATTGTTCTACACTGCCCTGCCTGGATAACAATTTACACGGGGCTTGATAATAAACAAAAGAGTTGTAATTAAGTATAAAAAGAGATTGCAAGTGAAAACAGACAGATCAAAGTAAATTACTAAAACAAAATAAACACGCCAGCTAATCTTAATACACTAATCCTTAGTTTTACACAACGTATTCCTCACCCTAATCCTTAACGCAGATGCAGTTCTTTACAAGCCAGAGCTGATCTTTTCTCTGACTTTTGTCTATCAGCTTCCTCTGTATCTGCTTTAGTTGGGAAGGCAGTTTCAAACTTCAACTGAAGAGAAAAGCCTGAATTCTTTCCATTCTTTAAATAGACTTCCCCAGGGTGGGAACCCTTTGTTTAGTCCCCCAATGCCTATGGAAAAATACCAGATTCAAGATCGATTTCAGTACATGGAATGTGTGTGGCATGGTCACATGTCTTTGTAGGGCTTTATAGGGTCACAGTTTGGGCTTACAGAAAAAACAACTATTTACAGATCATTACCTGTGTAGCAAGCCGTTAGTTTCCAGAGTATCTATCACTAATGGTCCACATTAGCACATTTAGAATTATAAACGAATCCACACTTCATATTTCTAACTTCATGCACAAGAGTGATACACGCACCGAAACAGAAATATACACATTCAGAAGATCGTAACTTTAAAAATGATGTTACATGAGGCATTTTGCCTAAAGCACCTTTGAGTTGTTCATATTCAGATTCAATAAACCAATTTTCATAAAGCATGGGGGGGACATGATAGCAGAACTAAGTATTCTCTCTAGACCATCCCTGATAGATGTTTATCTAACCTGCTCTTAAAAATCTCCAATACCAGATATTCCACAACCACCATGGGCAATTTATTACACTATTTAACCATGCTGACAGGAAGTTTTTTATAAAGTCCAACCTAAATCACTCTTGCTGCAATTTAAGCCCGTTGCTTGTTGTCCTATTTTCAAAAGAGAATAATTTCCCCCCTGCTTCTTGTAACAAACTTTGATGTAACTGAAAATTGTTATCATGCTTCTCCCACCCCCGGTGTCTTCTCTTCTCCAAACTAAACAAACCCATTTTTTTTCAATCTTCCCTCATAGGTTATGTTTTTCTAAACCTTTAATAATTTTTGTTGCTCTTCTCTGGACTTTCTCTGATTTGTCCACATGTTTCCTGAAATGTGCACTCAGAACTGGACACAGTACTCCAGCTGAGGCATAATCAAGGTGGAATAGAGCAGAACAATTATTTCTCAAGTCCTGCTTACAACATCCCTGTTAATATGTTGTTAGTGGGGTGTTTTTTCCCCAGCAGTGTTACATTATTGACTTATATTTTGTTTGTGATCTTCTATGACTCTCAGATCCCTCTCTGTAGTACTCCCTTCCAGGTAGTCATCTCCCATCTTTACATTTGTCATGATTGAAATTCATCCTATTTTCTTCAGACCATTTCTCTAATTTTTCCAGATCATTTTGAATTTTCTGTCTTCCAAAGCAGCAACCCTCCCAGTTTGGTATCTTCGGCAAATTTTATAAACATGCACTTTATGCCATTATCTAAATCATTGATGAAGATATTGAACAGATCTGGACCAAAAACTGATCCCTACAGACCCAATTCAACATGTCCTTGACTTTCAGCCACTGTTAGCTACTCTCTTGGAATGTTTTTTGAACCAGTTATGTACCCATCTTATAGTAGCTTCATCTAGGTTGTATTTCCCTAGTTTGTTTATTAGAAGCTCTCGTGAAAGAGTATCAAAACCCTTACTAATATCAAGATATGCCATATCTACCACTTGCCCCATTCACAAGGCTTGTTACCCTGTCAGAGAAAGCTATTGAGTTGCTATTTGTTGCTTGACTCAATTTGTTCTTGACAAATCCATGCTGATTGTTATTTATTACTTCATTATCTTCTAGGTGTCAGCAAATTGATTGCTTAATTATTTGCTCCATTATCTTTCTTGGTACTGAAGTTAAGTTGACTGGTCTGTATTTCTCTTTTTTACCGTTGGCCACTATATTTGCCCTTTTCTAGTCCTCTGGAATCTCTCCCGTTTCTACCACTTTTTGAAGAAAATTGCTAATGGCTCACATGCTTCCTCAGTCAGCTTCTTGAATATTCTAGAGTGTATTTCATCGTCCCTGGAGACTTAATATAATCTAACTTGTCTAAGTAACTTTTGACTTGTTCATTGCCTATTTTAGCCTTTGATCCTACTTCAGTTTCACAAGTGTTGACTATGTTAGACATCAAATCACTACTAATCTTTTTGGCAGAAATTAAAACAAAAAGTCACTTCTGCCATTTCCACATTTTCTGTTATTGTTTCGCCCTCCCTCATTTGGGTAATGGTGTATTCTGTTATTGGCCTTACTCTTGCTTTTAATGTATTTATGGAGTGTTTTCTTATTACCGTCTATGGCTCTAGCTAGTTTACTCTCTAGTCTTTCTATTGTGTCCCTTATCTGCCTGTGTTATAGTCATCCTCTTGTAATTTAAGCTAGTTTCCACTTTTTTTGTAGGACTCTCTTTTGAGTTTCACATAATTGAAAATCTCTTGATTCAGCAAGTGGTCTCTTGCCATACTTCTTATCTTTCCTATGCAGTGGAATAGCTTGCTTTTCTGTCCTTAATAATATCTCAGAAAAACTGCCATCTCTCTTGAACTGTTCTTCCCCTTAGAGTTGCTTTCTATGGGATCTTATGTACTAGCTCCCTGAGCTTGCTAAAGTCTGTCTTCTTGAAATCTTGTATCTTTATTGTGCTGTTTTTCCTCCTACCATCCCTTACAATTGATAACGCTACCATTTCATAACCACATTCACCCAAGCGGCCGTCCACTTTCAAATTCTCAGTTTTTCCTCTCTGTTTGTCACAATCAAATCTAGAAGAGATATATAGAATGACTTCTATACTTTATTTTTATCTATTATGATTATGACTGCTTGAAGCAGGTACTGAGTAACTCAATCACTTGTACTAGGAAGTTGTCAATTACTGTAATAGGAAACGACAAATTGTTCAGAAATTATAATTTCCTATTAACTCTCTACCAATTTCCTGGAAGTCGTATTATTTTTTAGAACAAATTATTTGGTTCTAGAGGTATTTAATTTAAATGGGAGATCAAATGAACCAATAGCTTAATTAAATGATAAGAACTGTAATTTCTAATGATCTTATGTAATGTACTAGTATGTTTCACTTTGACAAACTTGGTGGAGTTATTTTGTATTCAATTTTTTTTTTAAGCTACTTAGTCATGCCATTTATGGGAACAGACTTGAGTAAGATAATGAAGCATGAGAAACTAACTGAAGATCGAATCCAGTTTCTGGTCTACCAAATGTTAAAGGGCCTAAAGGTTTGCCATTTTTATTACTCTTACTTTTACAACTTATGTTTTTTCTTCGGAGATTGATTTAGATCAGTGGTCCCCAACCTTTCGAGGTTGTCGGGCACCAGGGGGCGTGGCCGTTTGCCCGCCGGGCGCCAGGGGGCGGGGACACTTGCGCGCCTGGGGGCGGGGCCCCCCCATAGCTGCGCGCCCGGGGGCGGGGCCCCCCTTAATCTTCTTTTTTCCAAACTAAACAAGCCCAGTTCATGAAACCTGGCTTCATAGGTCATGT